TCCGACAAAAACCGTCAACATTGCTTTGGCCGTCGGGCAAAAGTCAACAAACCATTGCTGAACTTCTGCGATTTTTCACTCTTAAGACCAATTTTCCGGAGGTCACTGACTCTTTTTGCGATCGGGAAATTTTGCAGCTTTTTCTACGTTATTTTGGAGGAGTTGCTTGGCAAAGGTCCAAAGCAACGTATGAGGATCTGATTTGTTGTCTTTGTCTCCTTCTCACACCTTTTCATCTCTCAACCTTTCACTTGATTGTTGGGAAATAGATGATGGCTTGAGACTCAGATATCTATCTGATCATCATTATGAGCTTCATATGCAACCTCACGGAAACCTTTCTTCAGACAGCTGCATGTCTGGTCCAGTTCCGATCACACACACAGACAGTCGGTCCATCTGTTGGTTTAGACCCTGTAGATGAATTGAGTCAGCTGAATTGCAACATAATCAGATGACTGGCAAAGAGCGCATGTTCTTTCAGAATTTTCGAATATTTTGTTTATACCGAAGATGGTGGCTACAAAGAGTTCAACAAAAGAGAACGAAGAAGGCGAGAGAGTATGATGTTTATGAAGAAGATTGAGGGAGATTTGAGGAAAGAAGTGAGGATACAAAAATACTTTTATATGGTCGTTGCCTAGATGGAAACAAAGGAGAAAAGATACAAATCAGACAGTCATCTCTTTTGGTTCGAGGTCGAAGCCAGTTCCGTTATTTTGATCTTCTGAAACTCTTAAACGGATTACAACGTTAGTTTAACATCAAGTGCCGATAATTAGCTATGAAAGGAATGATAAGTACAAATGATTTCTCTCAGCAAAGTTTATTTTTACTTTATAAGAGTTTTAAGCATACAATTGATAATGAAATGAAGACTTTGAGCTAAAAAAAAGGAGATAGTGAAGTGCAAGCAAATTGTATTAGATTCCTTATATCATATACAAATGTTGCAGAATTCACAGTCACAGAAAGATAGAAGTTGCAATCAAGCAAAACGATACGACATCCTTATGCGAATGTCCATTCGCCACAGATAACTGACTCTCATTATCAATTTTGACCAGTTTTCACTCCCTTAACTGGTCCCCGTTTTTTATTTCTTCTCCTTTCTCTTCACTTTTGTACTTTTCAAATACTCAAATCAAAATAATCAAGTTAACGCTTATCCATGCTTAAATCTGCTGTCTAAACACCTGGCTTGCCATATTCTCTCAACTATCCAGATTTTCTATGAATTTCAGGTTGCAATTATGGATGTAAGCGTTTCGCCTATCGGATTATTCAATCCGAGATATTCTTTCCCAGATTCTTCTCCATTTTCTCTCTTTTCTTTGACTTTCGAATAAACTTCCATATATGGAAGAACGATCGTTGATTTACTCATACTTCTCCACCTCTCCCCTCCAACTTAGAATATTTGCCAAATATGACGTTTGATTCTGGGTAGAAATACCTGCTTTCATGAAAAAAAATGTAAGATAACGCAACATTTGAGCGGAAAAAATGAAAACGAGAGACCAATAGTGCAACATTTCATCGGAGTTGTCGCCCTTATCGACAAGAAAGACAAAGAGTAGTGGAGAGAGCAAGAAGAACATCAAGATAGCTCAGATTTCTTTCAAAAAAGTCAGAGAGAGAAAGATGAGATAATCAGAGGAAAGAGAATGCAGAATGAAACTGAGCAATAATTGATAATGAGTTTAAAACTCAAAAACGCCTTTCATTTCAACGATTGCCCAATCGTGCTAAGTAACTCTTCTTCCAACTGCCAATTACTGTAGTGCGAAGATCCTCTTGGCATCTCTCGTCAATTGCTAATGTTTGTATGAACGGTCATGTTCTAATATTCTCTCTTGCTCCCTCATTTCGAGCTTCTCCTTTCTGACCAGCCACACGAAACTTTGATGGTCTTAGGGACATCTTGGTCGAATCTCGACAAACCCAGGACAACGACGTCAGACGAGTCTTCTCATCGCCCGGTCGCCAACCGTAGGCTCCACCCATTAGTTGCACTTTTATCGTTTAGGCGACGACGAGGAAGAGTAGGCGGGGCTTGTCTAGTATTCTGTCTAGGCGCTTGCAATGTGGTGAAAAGGCTGCTGTTGCCTGTTGGTCGCTGTTAGTTCTGGAAGTAGAAGAGTACTTAGATATCTTTTCTCTAAGCCGATCACTCTTATCTTCCATTTTTTATGTTTTTTTTACACCTTTTTAGTTTTATTACTCTTCATGATCTCGGTGCTTCATAACTTCGCAACATCTCGAAACCAAACTTGTATTTAACACTTTATCATCTGAGTTTTTATTCGAATTCTAACGCGCTCACTACTTAAATGATTGAAAGAGAAAGCCAGAGAAAGAAAGGTACGGATGTTGAAAAGAAGAGAGAGTGAGAGGAAGTCTTCCCTTAGGTAAACCATGGAGAGGGAGAGAAGCAAAGATGCGATGAGGGATAGAAAACATTCTTCCACGCTGCATTCTCGTCCAATCACCTTTATTTACCGTCTTCAACTTTCCCTCCTCTATCACCCAGAAAGAGAGTGAAAGCACTTTCTCCGTTCAGTACTTCTGAAACCATCCATAGATACACGCTTTAAGCAGCTTACTGAGTTGCCAAACTTTTTTTTGCAAAACTTTCATTAAATTTGAAAGAACTGAGTTATGAGTTCTCTTTGAGACCAATAGCTCTTCATCTCCGTTCTAAACAACCTAATTTTCGTGTATTTCTTTGTTTAATTATCTGATTACGCATTTTGGATGTTTACATCGTTGTCTTTATTATCTGTAGGGCGTTTTTCTTATTCTGAAGCTTCAACTTTCTACCACTCCCTTACCAACTCATTTTTCGCCTAATCCGACAATACTATTCTCAGCTGTTTCTTATCCATAAGCTTATACACTCTTTTCTTTTGCTTATCAGATTCCATCATTTGAACTGTTCGTGCGTTACGTCAGCTTCGCTGCGTAGCCTATAAAGGTCAAACCTCTTAGACCCCTCCGAAACACCTCTGGCATGTCATTAATCCTAAGAGATCTTACATACCCCCCAATGGCCAGTTTCTGTTTCTGATATTGTGCTAGAGCACTAATCCTTCCTGTTTATGCAACCCAGCACTTGCTTCTGATCCCGGATGTTTACAATTAGAATTGCAACAAGCGTTCACCTTGACTTTTTTTTATTCTTCATTCAACCTTTTAACAGTTATTAACTTTGAATCTGTTTACGTGGTTCTACTAGGTACACCCGGACTTCCTCGCGCTCATCACTTTCTGATATCCTCCGGTTATATTCCCACGAATACCCATTCCACTTGACTCTGCCCTTAGACAAATTGACCAGAATAATGTCCAGACAGTTTTTAAATATTACATTGTATAATTTTATAGCTTCATCCCATGTTATCAGACTATTACATGACCTCTGGAAAATACAATTCTGCACTTTGAGAGCAGCCAGTTGTATAGTTAGCACTTTACCTAATTTACAACCCCCCCTCCTTCTTTGTCTCAATTGTGAAGTCTGCTCATGATTTTAACTGCTCCGATTGTACTTGTCTCTTTCGAAATATTTTTGTTTTTCATTTTCATACCTACATCAGCTATGATGTCGCAAACAAAACTACCGATTTGCATAAACAGCTGTTCGCATCAAACCGTTTCGTACGTGAGCTTTCATTTCCTAGCGCCTTTACGCAGAAGGCGGTTGTGTGCTTTTTACAAAGCAACGCGCACTAATAGGTGCACAGTTGTTTTTCGTACTATTTTCGGATGTTGGAAACATTTATTCCTTAATTGATTTTCATATATTAATATTATAATTTAAGCTTGATAAGCTTTTTTTTATGCGCTGAGCTCCCTGAACGCGCAGTCAGACTTTTAGGCCTGTCTGATCTCAATTTGATTATTGAACTTTTCTCCTTATTATTTTATTATTAATTCCCATAATAACATTCACCATATATGATATATGACTATCTTGTCATCCGTATCACCACTATCTTCAGACCATATATTATTCTGTTCATCTCTACTATGAAGAGTGCCCTAAATCCATTCGTAACCAGTCAGGTGTCTCTCGATGATATCGTGTAGATTATTGTTTTAGTAGGCATTCTTCATGCCCGCGATGGCTATTAGTGGATCTGCTTGGTCTGGTTGGCCATTTGAAGTTATCTATACGCAGCGTAAATCTCAACTCGCTTTTTTTCAAATAGTTTATTTGGTGTCACAATCGAACGATATTATTAATACTTTCAAAACTTTGATTTTTAAACTTGTGGCTTGGTATTATCGCTTTGATCTTGTGATTGATTTCTCATCTTGCTTACTTTGTCACATCGAAAATGTCATGATATCGGCGTGCCTCTTGAAACATCTCGATCTCGCCTTAAGTCACTATCTTATTTTGAACACCTTTCAACTGACCGCCTTCCTGCTATCAGGTCATCGGATGTTACTAAGGTAGCTGGGTCCCATACAGCTCATTAGTTTATTCGTTCGTTGATGATGATCACCAGGAGGAGCTTCTCAGGAAGCACTCTGAAAAAGACAATGTTCTCATCACTGGCTGAACTTCAACACGAACCAATTCATGTGTCACGGCGTTATGCTAATTTGGCGATTATTTTCTGTAGTTGCGTCATATCATAGACGGGCTAAGCTTACTATTTCTCAGACTGAATTTTATTAATCATAACTGCATATTTCTCATAATGTTACTAGTTCTTCAATTTATTAATCCGTTATCGAAGAGGCTCGACATTAGACACTTTTTTTAAGTGGATGAGATTTTGTCTGGCCCCTTGCTGAAACAAATAGCTCTCCGCCCCTCCCACGATCATTTACATATAAACCTAGCTCAGTCATAATATCGTATATTCTCATGGTCTAATCTGCATTCACTTTTTCTTCATATTTTTGTGTTCACTCAACTTTTCCTTTATTCATTGTTTTAAATTTCAGATGAAGGCATGATTCACTTGCAGCGTTTTACCTCAAATATGCAGTTCGGTCAAGTTCCCCACGGAGCTGCTTCATCGCATTCAACTGCGTTCAGTGATGGAATGTCATCAGGCAGTAGATCTCCTCCTTCTTATGTAAGTTTTCTTCAAATAAGTTCAATTATTATCACGAAATGATAAGAACTAGTAGCTCTTCTGTTGTTTGCTCTATTTAATTGCTGTACCGGCAAACTTGAGGGTTATAAGCCCAAAAGATCATGAGGACAAACCTGGGACAGTTGCTTATCTTATCTTATCGTGGTCAAGATTTGACCGTTGTTCAGTAGTATAACTAATTAGTAGCTCAATTGTTTTATTGTGCTGCTTAGAGTCACATAGCAAGCATACAAGGATGTCGTTTCAGCAACATGACTCAAGCAGTTCATATGAGGATAGTTCCTCTTCTTCATCCATGAATTGTCGCCATTCCTGTAAAGGATCCGTCAAATCATTTTCTTCATTCGATTACAATCGACGAACGATTGGTGAAAGTTTCAAGCCAGGAATGAAAGGTGAGCGTTTTATTCACATTTGTTAAGTCCGAATCCCATTCCTCATTGTTTCGCTTCTCTCGTTTTATCTATTTGGGCTTAGCATTGAACTGAACAGTTCTATTAGCAGTAGAGAGAGAGAGAGATAAGTTGTCTGTACTTACGACAGCTGTGTCCACGCGCCTAGGTTCGTTCTAAACACCAAATTTCAAAGCAAAGATACTGAAAAGAAATATCTTTCTTCCCCTTGCCTATCTCTCGATGTCCGCAGATCTTTCCTCACCTTTTGTGAGAGTGATATTCCTTTGTTAGTACAGACGTACGGACTTTGTTTGGTGGGCAGATGTGCTTTTCTCAATCTATTGGCAACAATTGTTATCCGTGCTTCTGTCTGAACACCCTTATCTTATCTGTCAGAAACGCAACATTGTTCTCAATGTGTCTATAAAGCAAGGGAACTTCCCACTGATATATAAATAGATTACATTTTAGTACTTAGATTAGAAGGTTACAATCATTGTTTGATATCAAACTAACAATCTGATCCAGTTGCCCTTATTGTGGAAAGTAGTTAGAGACTCGATTTTTTCAAAAGCAGTCTTTTGCAACACTTTCAAAATAAATACGGAGAAAATTTGATTCGTCTGCGATAAGAATTAGGCAAGAAGGTATACGTTTCTACGATACGGTCATAGATACGAAATCTTCATCTTGCCGATTTCATTCAGCTAGAACTTTGATTTTGAATTTTTGTGATTCACCAACCACGTTTTCCAGCTAATGTGTGGCTTGGTTTATGAAAAGACCAAATGGCCGGCAAGACATAAAAGTACAAACGTGATATTATGGGATTGACGCTATCTTTATGAAATATCTGTATTTCTTTGAATCATCTACAGACTATTCACATCAATCACATTATTATGATCCTCTTCTTATCGGGTGTCTCATCAGTCTGTAGGTTTGGACAACACGCTTATCATGCTATAGCCAATCAGTCTGAACTATTCGGGGAATCTCCTCTCTTACTCTCCTGTTGTAAGATGTCGGTCTCTTTTTGATTACACATTCATAAGAAGGCTATCCCTTTCCATTTCACGTTTCCTTTCTTGGCACATGGTAGCTGATTTATGAGCGTTAACATAAACTTCGATGGGTAATTTCGAAACAACACAAATCACCGAGATTACAACGACCACTGTTTCTAGCGGCTGGTACATCATCATTCATTCGAACATTCCTAGGTCATCCTCAGTTCGTAATGATTAGAAATCTTAAGCTGCCAGTCAGAAAGTTTCAAAAGAAGAAACGTTGAAAGAGAGAATGTATGTTTGACAAGTGCACTTAATTTCGAATTGCTCGAAGTTTGAAGATGAGTAATCTATTGTTCCTCTTTCATTTGCTACGTGGGAATGCCTTTTTCGTGGTCTTTAATTTAACTGATTTTTTTTCGGCCTTACGACTTTCTGCCAGATAGTTTCGATTACTGTATACTTTTTGCCCTTTCTATTATGATAAAAGGTGTTGGGTGAAAGATGGGCAGCGATGATATTGAAATAAACTTGGGAGAACTACACTTTACAAAACTATGCAAAGACCAAAATCCTTTGAAACTGAAATTTCAAAATGAAAGACCAATTTAATTGTTTTAGATGTTCCTGCTTGGCTCAAAGCACTCCGATTACACAAGTACACAGAAATGTTCCAAACAATGAGTTATGATGAAATGCTCAACTTGGATGATGTTGAGTTAGAACGACGACAGGTAGTTAGTATTTCAGTGAATCATCAACAAAGTTTCTCTTCAGGTTACCCAAGGAGCTAGAAAAAAGATTCTTCAATCTATACAAAAGCTCAAAAATCGTTCTATCGCTATTCGTGAACAATATCGAAGTCTTTCACAAAATATCGGATGTGTCCGTTGCGCAATTCTCACTCTGCGTCAGTTGCTCCTGACCCCGATTCGCCTATATGTGCCTAAGTCTGGTGAGCCCAAAGAATACGTTGAAGGCAATACCAATATTGTTAATATCAGTGATGACGTAAGATTATAGTATTAATTAATGCCTCTTGACCGTCTCGTTCAGAATATCCCTGCTCTTCTCATTAGACTTCTTGTATCAGTCAGTCCTCTCGTCTTTCCTACTCAGAACGGAGAAGAAATTGAAGATAATTATTTGTCTATCATGTTTTCAATATATGACAAAGTTGCTAATAATGAGGTATTGTTTGAAGAAAGCGCCTTCGCTTATTCACATGTTTAAGGCTTTCCTCGATTGTCAAAGGCGACGAGCAATTCAACTCAAAAAACAAGCTCGTAGATTTACTTCTCCACAAGATCTCCGGAGGAATAATAACTCTTTTACTCACTCTTCGGTTAGATGTGACAATTGCCAACACAGGGTAAGTATACTTTCTTATCTATTCCATTGTTTTTTTTATTTGAGACAACTATGTTATTAATTGCTTTGCTTTCAGAACGTGCCCAATAACGCAAACTGCGACTTCCTCCACGTAAGTTTTTATTTGCCGCATTGTTTTTCCTAGTCTGTAATCAATCTGTGACATCTTGAAAGGATGTATATGTATGTTTGTTGTCGCTAGTCGAGACATGCTTATCAAGCTTTTTCGACTCACCATTGTAACAAAATACCGGTTATTGCAACTGTCGGTAACGACATCTTTCTTTCGGTTGATTAATGACCGTTTGATACAAGCTTACGTTTTCATGCCTTGCAAAGAAACAGATCTGCAGATTTGCAGAGAAAGATAAAAAAAATTCAAATTCAAAAAGAGGGGTTTTTAATTAATTGATCTTCAGAAGTCCAATGGTTTCCATGTCCCTAATAATGATCGACGTGATCGAACAGAAGCATTTGTTTGTAGACCGCCGCAAAGAATGTATAATAACCATGTATGTCATAGTATGTAAATCCTCGAGCTCATTCATATTTTACAGACTTTACAAAACGCCCAAAAACAGCCTTGGATGAACAACAATCCTCGACAAAACGCCAATCTCAGACAAAATGCGGAGACCACGGTAAACTTGATCCATATGAACTCTTTTCCAACATTTCTTCTTTCAGCCTCTCTTTTCTGACATGATATGGGGTACCTGTGCTCAAGAAGCCAGATTATCGGAGTTCAACGACTCATACAACACCTTGCTATCTATGAACGGCCCAGCTGTTCATGTCGCTAAACTTCCTCAGTATCGTTCAAGCAGATCAAATCAGCAAATGATGGCTCCAATCAAACAAAATACGAATGTTATTGGAAACAGAGTGGCGAATGAGGCTAACAACTTTTCTCGTCCTCACTTCTTCGATGAGTACCAGACAACTTGGCATGGTCAACTGAAGTTTAGAGATGAACCCAGCTGGCCTGCATCTATTTACTCAACTCAAATTGGGAAACTTCCGGTATGTTGTTTTAATAGAATTTATACATGATCAATTTATTTACAGTCCGAAGATTGTCATAAATCGTTCGCGTGGGGCTTAGCCCGTCTTGACAACTCTGATATGTCGGATTATTTATCATCAGCAAGCACGAGTGAACGTAGTTCAGACGCTGGATCTCCTCGATCAAGAGCATCAAATAACAGAACTGAAGACGACAGTCTACACAGGCTCCTGGAGAGTATAGGAAGTATGCGAACCTCTTACTAATCACGTATCTCTTCTGCGTTGTTACCACCCTCAACATTATGCTGTTGAGCCGCCTTTCTCATATTATCAACCTTTTCACCTCTTCTGAATCTGAAGGTTTCTTTCTCCCTCAGTATCTCATACCTCATGCGGACTTCCGTACCCATCCACCTCGTCTTAGATATCATTTTTTTGCGATTAATGATAGCCGCAAAGCTGTAAACTCCTTCTATCAGTCCTAGTGACTAGTCGAATACTCTCGGTCGTCTTATCTACCCAACCCACCTTAGCTACGATAACCAAATTCATTCATTTTAAGAATTTTTGTTTGTTTTTTACAATTTGCCTTATCAGTATTTAATATGTTTTTATTTTCCTATACACTTTTGCTTTCAACAGTAGTCAATCTCATGTATTAGCTATTTCGATGTTTTGTTAGGAGAGATCGGAGAACTATCTGCTGTTTCTTGAACTCTCGTAATATCGGTTTTCCCCTAATAACAAGCAGATCACTCAATTCATATCTATACCCGTCCTGTTAGCTCTCCTTTTTCTCCCTCCTGATCTTTACTGAATGGTTTAGTTATCATGCAGTTGCCTTAAATTTACATAGTCTTGATATATTTCTATATAGTCTGCATGTATTTTCTTCAACATTTCATTTTTTCGTTCTCTTCATTATATTTCAAGGTTAGCATAGCTCAATACCACATATCCGATTTATTCAATTCTGACGAAGTTCCCACTCTTTCTTGAAAATGGCCTTCATTCGAATTCCAGTTGACTATATATTTTTTGGCCTGCTGATGAAATTACATGTTTCTCTTTTTGGCAACTCTCTTTGTGTGTTCGGAAGTTTTCTCACGTTGAGGATTTATTTGTGCATATATGGGCTTTCCAACAGATATGTTCTATTACTGCTACCACGTCCTGACCGTTTATTAATTTCTAACTGGACGGATCTAACCTTTCGAAACATTTTCACTTCGTCAAATATGAAAAATTCAGAAGTACTAGGAGGTTCTGAGATCTTTCCCATGTTTAGGCATGAGTTTTGAATGTTTTGAGCAATCCAGAACTTACCGAAGTCTTCTAGGTACTAGAAACTACTCTCATTCCAAAGCCCATATATGTATAGATGACAGAAATAGTAATTACCTCTCTTTCATATTTATCACATTACTCAGTAGGACCCCCAAGGGGTAATCCCCATCATAGAGATTCTTTCAAATATGTCTTCTTCAAAATGTTGTGGCGAAATCCACCTTTGGCTCACCTAGTGACAGAATAATGTATTTTTGTATATTCACCGTTCAAGCTCAAATGATTCAGCAGGATCCGAACTTGATCGGTCATTCTCAGTCTCAGCTATTTCCTGTCGTTCTCTATACATATGCGTTGCTGCGTTTAGAAATTTGTTCTCTTTTTTCTGTTACGAATTTCCTTTTAGTCTTTTCCCATTCTAGACCCAACATCCTTTAGTTGACTATAGATGTAATATAACATGTACTTTTCCTTTTTTCAACGGAGGTACAGAGCGGCTTTCCAAAATTTGTTCACCATGACGTGCCTCAATTCCGTGTGAATTTCGTATCGCTTTTCGGATATCGTTCACTTCACATTTTTTGATCTGTGGATTTGTTCTCTATTGAATCCCCCAATTACATAGATTCTTTCTCTTTATCATATAGTTTGTTACGTTGACCCAATATAAATGAGTCTTTGTATAGTCCAATCCAGAGCTGGTATCCTCGCACACTCATCTTTTCATTCTTTTTCAATTTCTTTAAAATCATAGTGCTTGTAGGTTTTGGTAATTACACACTGTGTTTCACAGTTCTCGTTGATCTTTATTTGGTTCAACCTAGATCGTTTTTTCTGAAAAAAAAGTTTGGTCAACGTTAACCTGTGAACTTTCACAACTTGCCATCTCATGTGTAAATATCTTCCAAAATATACATGACATTAATGAGAACTCAATAGTACCTTTTACAATTCCATGTTCCCTTCATCTTTTTTTCTGTGAAAGGCATTAATGAGATCTAATAACTTTCTCACTTTCGATGATTTTGACTGTAGTTGCTCTTATAGATGTTCAATATATGTAAACAGATTAGTGTTTTATATTCAGTGCCTTATATTGTAAATTTTACTGAAAAAGTTGTTGATTTCATCATTGTTATTATGTTAGTACACGGAAACATTCGAAATGAGAAAAACAATTGAAACGGAGCTGGCTACCTGAAAGAATTTATCAATGAAAACACTCGAAAGATGACACAAGCGTACTGAAGTTTTTAAAACAACGGAAGAAAATAGAAATGTTGCGTTTTTTGAACAAAGGAAAGAACAGGTCCATGTACCATATCACTTATTGATTGAATTCCATATTTTGTTAGTGTTCATTATCTCTTGATTGAACTTCGGAAGATTCGTTGAAGATGCCGGGTACTTTTACGAACTACTTCAGAACTATATTATTATGTTTGCTAACAGCAGTGTTCATGAAAGTGTACTATCCAGACGCTATGTATGTTCTTTTGTTTTTTTCAAAAAAGTTTAAAGTTGAAGATGCCAACTGTATGGGTCGGGCACTTCATTAACTAAAATTGCTTGGGTAGATGGCCATGGCGAGAAGGTGATCAATCTAAACGCAACGACAAGTTTAATGAGACTTTGTTAAGCCTCTTTCAACGTATATGACGCATATTGTGGAAGTTCTGGAGATTATAGGATACAAGGTACGAAGGTTTCTTTCAAATTCTTTAATGAATTCCTCTTGGTTTAATGTTCATCACTTCTGCATGTTCATTCTATCTGAAGAAAGAGAGATGATATTGGCTTCCTTGAATTTCTGCAACCGGTTAATGCGATTTGATTTCTCAGAATGAAAAGTTGAGAAGAAGCGCCGGGAGATGAAATACGTGAAATGGGCGTCACGTACTTGGCTGCTAATTAGCATAATTTTTTAGTATTTATATATGAGACGTCTGTAAGACTTGAAGAGATGAGAAACACGTATGGAAAAAGAGATAAGAAGTTGAGATAGAAAAAGAAAAAGGAGAGAAGTAGAACGAAGGAATCTGCGAGATTTTTGGAAAGAGATTATTAATTATCGTGCACGTCATGGTTGCCAAATTTTACGAGCCCGTACTGAACGAATGTTATCCATCCGCCTACACTTGCTTGAATCGTAGATACGCTTCGGACCAAGGGCATGGAAATAAAAACTTGATGAATAGGGAGGGGGGATGCGTTTCTTAAATATTCTTTGTAAATTTCTATACAGCAAAGTTGTATGAAAACGTTCGCCCGATCAAATGTTAAGAGACAATTGATGTATCTAATGAAAGCAGTTGTTATAATTGAAAATTGAAAATTTGTGATTAGAAACACAAAAAGTTTATTATTTTGAGGAGAGTTGTTGCACTTTAGTGTAAAGTGTGAAAACTGATTATTTGTGTGACAAAGGATCAGTTGAACGTGCAATGTATTTATTTGATAAATCGCACCTCATTCTACATAGTCCATTGAATTGATGAGACAAGACTCCGTAGTTGAATTGTAACAAAATTTATGTGAATTTAACAAAAATTCATGTTATACTATAGATTCTTCGTTCACCTGCCCTTTTGCTTTCTTACTTAAACAGAATTTTTGGATTGCTATCTTCCGGTCAACTCTGTTGCAATGTTTGGAAAATGAAAGGCTCTTTTTGTCTGACAGGTGTGAATAGTTGTTGTAGATGCGGAGATGTAGACAACTGATATCTGTGTCTACATGATTTTATCTAATTCCATTTCCCCCTTCATCTTCTTATTTTAACAGAAAAAGAGAAATGTACAGAGAGAGAGAGATAGATAGAGAGAGAGAAGGATCGGCTGAAACGAACAAGAGAAAAGAAAAGCAACTACTGATGAAGACAATACGCATCGAGCGGCAGCCAGTATGGAAATTTTCAAAGTGTTGACGTCGTTGTCACCGATAGGCTTGTCTGCCTATATGTTGACTGTCCATTCATCAAATCAATTCAAACGTTGTTTCATCATATTCGTCCTCCGTCGTCCGGGTGGCCTCTGTAATAAATGAGAATGGAAGATATATAGAAGTAGTAGTTGCCGATGTCGTAAATTCTATTCTGAATGTAAATGTTTTGTATCAACAGGGTGGTCTTTAGTCATGTTTGGGCATCCAACTGTGCCAAACGAATCTGAACAGTAAGCGAGGGATTCAATTCTTCCAGCAAAACTCAAAATTTAATTGAAAATATCCGAAATGTGCTCTGATCAGGAAGAAAAACATTTTCTGCATTTGACCGTTCGACTATATTTGTTTGTTGACGAAGTCGTTGAATATAAGCATTGTTGACAAACCAGGACATGATTTTTTTCTCGGAAACTCAGCAGGATTACTCCAAACATCGGGAGAAGAGTGAGGGGAAGCGTAATGAGGGGGTGATGTTGCAAGATGTTTCCGTTAGAAGTCTAATTGATTTGCGTGGCCCAACGAAATAGAGATTTGATCAACAAAAACGGTTTCACACAAACACACATGCACATTCACACAGATATCTAAAGGTGTCATTGTGATTGTTGATTCTCTGCTATAATGATCTATTTCGATAGATAGTTAATTTCGTTTTTGTTGAGAATTGCGAAGAATCTTTGCTAATCTATTGGCTATGTCTATTTGTCTTCAAATATGTGCTATGAAAGTGCATTGTGCATTTAGGAAACACTTGACAAGCAAAAAAAAAGAAATTGGAAAGTATTGAGTTCGGTGGTTTCGTCGTCTCGTTTTGTCTCTTCACCTTGTCCAATATTTTTTTAGTTCTGAAACTGTGGCGTTTTTCGCAATATTTTCTTAAGAACAGTCCAATCGTACCTTTTCTCATTCTCTCGAAATGTTGCGATGGCTGAGAGTGTGACGTAAAAATAAAATGTTGCAAATTATAAGATTAAAGCGTTATCTATAGGGTGTAGTATTTGCAATGATGAGATGAGTTGGGAAGAAACTTGATCACCTCATTTAGAGCTCTTATAATATTCGCTGATATAAAATATTATACTTAGCATTAGATTGTAATCGTTTTTCATGTTTGTTAGAGATAGCTTCTCAAGTTATCAAACAGTTGCATTTTGGAACGCTTGTACTCAGTAGGTCAGCTATATTTGAATGATTTTCAGATGGTGTTTGCATACAGCTGTTTGAAACCATGTGCCTTTCTTTAATCAGAAGTTCACCGGTTTTTGTATAAACAAATGTCCTTGCATGACGATGACCGGCAATAGCCAGGAGTTGCGGAAAAAAGAAAATTATTTTTGAAAAGGCAGGGAGGGAGCGGGGGGGGTGAAGAATTGAAATACAGACAAGTAACAATATTTTTAAGAGGGTTTATGCCTTGAAACGGTCTGATGACGATGGATGAATGAACAACCGGATGACAAAAGTTTTGTCATGCGTGCAGACTGTTTATGTATATACGATTACAGCCATGTTTGGATTTGAAAACACACATTGAGAATAAGATGGTCATAAGAGCTAATTCCAATTACAAGGTAATAGTCTCATGATCATTTTCCGGAAGTATACATCCAACACTTCCACTACCATGTTTCAAATTGTTTTCTGACCAACAAAATGTTTCATTGAAACTGCAAGGGGACAGGATTTTCTAAACTGGAGCTGAGTGTTGCCAGGCACACGTCGATTATAATCTAACCTCTTTAAGAAAAGAAAATCTGATACTATCGTCCTATGCTATACGTATAGTATACATTCATATTTTTTTGCGGCAAAAAAAAAAACAGAAAAAATAGCAGACCATTGATGATGTTATGACTGAATGAAAGTTTGAGTGAATGTGTTTGTTTCTAAAACAATAATGGTTGAGTTATCGTTTGAACCTTTGCGGCTTTTGATCATCAAGAAGATATTTTCATTTCCTTGTTGACTCTCCTGCTTTCTTATGCTGCTCCTCTGTTTGAAAATATTTCGGTGAGAAAAGGGAAGCAAAAAAAAATCGTTCAATCTCTTCGAGACTGATTGTAGCATCTTGGCACATCCATCAAATCAGACCTTGTCTCCAATGGCAAACTTTGATGACCCTTCGCATGACCACATATGGATGAAATCTAATAGGAGAATATTATAACTTATATGCTGATCAGAAATATAAGAAGGGATTATATATTGCATAAACTTAAGAATTACTTAGTATGGTGTGAGATAGGTAATACTATAGTTCAATCAAACTGTTATGCAATCAACCGTTCTACACAATCGCGTTGAGGGAAATGAAGTATACGTGAACACCACGTGGATCATATCATTTACATATTAACTTGCTTTTTTCATTATGCCAATTGAAGATTGTAACTGGCGAGGAAGCAAAATCGTCAGCATGGACTGTTATGTGGATTCACGAATACTCGCTTATAAAGCCTGTTTATATGGAAAGCATAATGAGAGCTACTCCCGCTCAAACAGTGAATCATGTACCGGGATCAGGATATTATACGAGCAAAGCAAGGGCTTTTAATTCTATGTGATCATAAAAAATAGTTCTTAGGTTTCTCTAGCTACCAGTAGTCTCTCCAGAGGAGTTCCTGAAGCATTTAGCTTGCCAGGCGAAAAAGAAAAGTTCTTAAACTTTGCCAAAGATCATGAGGACTATCTTTGGGTACAAAAGGACAATTCCCATAGGTTTGTAGCTATTGTCTGAAAAATGTTTTTTTCCTCATTTCCAGAAACATAAAAATTACTAATTTCAATGAATTGGATTTAACTCGGACCAATTCCTTTGTTCAGCGTTTCATTGAGAACCCGCTGCTCATTGACGGCAGGTTCGTTCTGATTTTCAATTTTTTAGTCATTCGACCCAGTTTTGAAATCTTTTTTTTTGTTTTCTCTTCTCATCGTTTTGCAACATTTGCACTTTTATTATGAAAACGATCAGTTTTGGAATAGAAATGAGACAACAGTTGTGTATTGGAGGATGGGAATAGGGAGAGAATTGAATTAATAACTTTGCGAACAGCCTAAAACTTTTGAAAGTTTACGCTACAGATTTGAATAATTTTGATAAGTTCCTGGTCTTTTTTGGGAATTTAATCATCGAATAACAGGAATAGTACGTTTACAAGGGATTCTTCGTTCATTGTTTTTCAGAAAATTTGATATCGGCGTTTATACAGTAGTTACTTCATTGAAACCATTGAAGGTATATCTTTACACTGGAGATGTCATAATCAGGTTCTTACATCGATGAAATAATGGATGCTATAGTTCAGTTAAGATTCTGCCCACATGCATATGAGCCATTTGATGCTTCTGATGTTGATAAATATGTTGTGGGAGATGATTATACACCAATTTGGGAAGTAGATACTCCACTTCATTACATCAGATCTTACAAGTATCTTCATTACAGATTGAATCACTGAAAGAGTTTTTCACAATTCATAAGATGGGATGGAGACAAACGTTGGATACGTATTTGATTCAGAAAAATATGAATCCCATGATCATCTGGGAACAGATAGGAACTATCATAGCAGAAGTTTGAAAATTTCTTTAGGGCTTCTGCATGATGCTTCTCATAGGTTTTTCAATCAAAACAATTGGATATGTTGAGTCAATCTGAGTTTCTCAACATACCTACAAAATACTTTGAGCTTAGTCGCTTTGATTTCATTGTGGATGACAGCTTGAATGTTTTCTTAATGGAGGCGAGTGAAGCTTAAGCTTGCACCCAACTTTACTGTATCTCAGGCCAATATGTCTCCAAATTTATCATCTGAGCATTTCGCCGAGAACAAACAACTTTACAAACAAGTAATCTTTAACGTCTTATCTCTCGTTGGACTCATTAATCCAGTCCCTAGCAAAACAATAGAGAAAGAAGAATTGAATTCAGAGTAAGAATCATATTTATACTCCGTTCTAAACTAATGACACATTCATAGAGTTTATGAAGTTGAATCTTTCATCAGCGATCGAGATATAAGTGTTCATTTGGATCAATGCTTAGACAGTACCTGTGAGAACTGTTCACTAGAAGTAAGACATCGTTAGAAGAAGCTTAAAATGTTTGTTCCAGATTTGTAAACTTTGTCAAAAATGTATGTCTGAGAGAGTTTCAAAGATGTTGAAAACTACTTTTTCTGAACACAACGCCAGAAAACAAATGATGTTGGTTCAGTTTGATTATCAGAACAAGAAGGTTGGAATCTCAAAGCAATGTCAGCTTTGAATAATTATTTTCTAGCCTTCCACTGCGGATGATTTCCTTCTATGGTCTTGGTTAGAAGCTAAATGCAAAGAAGATCCAAGTTGGTGCCATTAATTGATATTGGAAAGTACAGAGTCGATATGAAATTTGAACGAACAATCTGATAAATTCTTATACGTTTATAAAAAAGGTTCATGTAACGATGAAGGGTAAAGTCATGAAAAACTTTATTGCTCTGCCCTCAGATAAGGCGAACAGGATGAAACTATCAGTCTAGTTGTTATACAAACACATTTCAGCTCTTCGAAGGGACGTTCTAGTCAAGAAGAGTAAGTGTTAAGAAGTCTTTTACTATGGTAGAGAGATACAGGGACAATACTATTCAACTTTTTATTTTTTTTAACAATGTTTATATACATATAGCAAAAAATAAAGATTTCATGAAGGAGCTGAGATTGGATTACTTTCCAACGGCGTAGCTCTGAAATAGATTGTTTTAGAATTTTTCAAGTTTGCAACAAAACTTACTCCTCCTCCGATTTGTGGTTGAGCTTGGTATGAAGATTGACCGACTGGGGCACTTTGAATTGGAGCTTGAGCTAAAGCATCTCCGTAAACACCTCCGGAGACTGGAGCAGATCCACCTTGAGCATATCCTCCTCCGATTGGGAGTGGAGCGCCTCCAGAGAGACCCTCAACTGGGGCAGATTGAACTCCAGTGGATTGAGCGTAAGATTGAGCTACTGGAGCAAAAGATTGAGCTGAGGCGAAAGATTGGACTGGAGCGGCAGCTGGGAGAGCTTGAGCATATCCTGATCCGAATGGAGCTCCGGCTCCTGATGGAGCGTATCCGGTGCTAATTGGGGCTCCGGCACCGGCAGAGGCATACCCTCCGGATGGAGCGAAAGATGGGGCTGGAGCTGGGTTGTAGACTGGAGCTGGAGCTGGGTTGTATACTGGGGCTGGAGCGGAGTAAACTGGAGCTGGAGCAGAGTAGACTGGAGCTGGAGCAGAGTAAACTGGAGCTGGTTGAGCGTAGGCTGGAGCTGGGGCAGAGTAAACTGGTGCGGCGGCGTGTCCTCCACATCCTGATGGAGCACCACCACAACCTCCTCCACAGCCTCCGAAGCTAGGAAGTTGAAGAGATGGGAAAGATGGGAGAGCGAGTCCACCGCCACATCCACCACCACATCCTCCACCACTGAAAACATTGATTTGTCGAGATAATACTAATTATGAATAGAAAGGAATGGAAATCAAAACTAACCATCCTCCACCTCCGAAGAGGAAAGCGTTGCAGCCAGCGGCAAGTGCGAGAGTAATAATAACGAACTTCATTATAAACTAAAATAGAGAAGTTTTATTGAGAGAGCCAAACTAAAACGAAAAAGTGAAGAAGGAGCGAATGAACAATTTGAAATCCACTAAGGGAGGCAGGTAGGAAGAAGCGAAAGTGCTTGAACGAACTAATCCAGATTCTGAACAAGTGACTGAATAGGAGGATTATAAAGAAGCTTAGAAAAAGAAGAGAAGCTTATGAAAAGTTGAACTTTCATACAAAAATGCTTGCCGATTGAACAATCATGTTGCTTATATAGCCGCTGGGCAACCATGAGAACCTGACTCAAGTTTTTACATGTCAAGCGGCACTGGTTCATTGAAACTATTCCTTATCTCTCTTCTTCACGCGAGATTGGCTTTACGCATATAATACGCAGAAGTTTGGTTATTGGAAAGAATAGAATTAGAACTCGTGTCGACAACGATTATCACAGAAAATCATAATCTTGCATCATCCTCATCATCATCACCATCATCATTTTCCCTCTATGGACTTGGATTTTCTAATAGACTTTTATGGCAACATAGACCAAATGACCTCGTGTTTAAGTGTTGTTTTAAGTATTAAATTAAGAGAGGAATAAACTGTGAAAAGCTGTCATTCACCTGAACAATTAAATTTTTGCATTTCTTGCTTCATCTGTTGCAATTTGAAGCAATTGAATATGCCTTAAACGTTTCATTATATGCTATCAGGTTTGAAGGATTCAAGCACAGTTCAGCAACAAGTATGATAGGTTGTTAACACAAGAACTCTCTTCAACAATTTTCCTTTCTTAACTATGCTTCAGAGTCATATGCTTTGAATTCCATTTAAGCCTGTCCTCTAGGAATTCCATTGTTCCCGTCACACATCTTATAACAATTAATTATAAAGGCGTAGAGTTTATAAAAATTTTATAAAATCTGGCTATCGTATCATGATCACGAAGTGATCAATCTCAAAAAGTTTTCATAAACAGCTTCATTAGCTTCACACTTTGTTGCTACATTAACACCTTGTTGCGAAGTTCTTTGTTGCATCGTAGTGGTGTTTGGTTCTGGATCAACATCAAAGCCTATAAACTTCTTGGATAGTTTAATCTACGCACCTTTGTGGAGAAACAAAAAAGAAAAAATAGATTTCCGGTTGTAAGTCTCATATCATATTCGTCTCACTTTCTCCAGACAATCATCAGACGATTCTCCGAATTAGTTTTCATGTAGCAAAGCCAGACATAATGCTTTATTCTTGCAACTATTAAAGAATACTTGTCCTTGTTCTTTTTGAACTGTTCCATCTGCAGTAGAAACAGGCTTTCTGCAACAGAAAGTTCATTGCCTAGATACATCTAAGCTTCCGCAATTAGTTAGCAATTTACAGGAGTGTTATGGAAATTTTCTTTTTTTTCTCTTACAAAACCATCTTCCAATCCATAATCATTCTTTCAAGTTTTTGTGTCGTTATATACGTATATAACCGGTTTTCATTTTTTTCCTGATTTTCAAATGCTCATTTAGATAAATTGCTTGACGTAGTGCGGTTGATCACCAAGTTTCGGTTCGACTAACTCCTTATCAGGTCTTCCACTTGATTCGGTTAACCCGATGATCTATGTTAAAGCTATTCAGAACAAACATGAATATCAAATAATTTATTTTCGATAGAAAAAAATAATTTCTCGAACAAGTATACCCTGAATAATCTTGTCAAGCTATGAAGAAGGGATGAAGCTCAAATCAGGTGGATAAGTTATGAAGAGTTGAGTAATAGTTAGAACCTGAGATCAAATTACAATAGAATCAAATGAATATGTACATAAAGGCAACTGATGAAGACAAGACAATTGAAGTTTCACAATTATCACATTGACAATATCTGAAGAAAAAGCTCTTTGGTGCGCGGATAAGACAGCTTTTGATGATGAAATATGATTATGAACTTTTACAATAAAAAAAATGACAATTAATGAACGAATCATGCAAGATGACGCCAGAACGACTAGAAGACCGGATTTTCATCTCTTTTTTTTGTTTTAGAAAGAAACATTGAGGAAGATTTTAGGCACAGTAGTCTGAGAGATTTCTCAGTGAAAAAAATTTTTAAGCTTATAATTTGTTTGGTATGGCTCCATAAATATGATTTTGCCTCAATGCTGTATTATAGAAATGAGGTGGAATTGAGATTTCACTTTTGCCATATATGAGATCTGCTGCTTGGTATTTGGTATTAGAGACGGGGCGACCTGCAAAGAAAAGCCGGTTAATTAATGAGTCTTCTCAGATTACTCTTACCAAGACAACATATGAGGTTGAGCCAAGATGAAAGCGTCTTTCGACTACAAATCCAAACTCCACTTGTCCATCCTACTACACACATACAAGCTGTTTTCACCAAAGCAAGAATTAGAGCCATATCACGAGATGGTGCTCCGTTCTTGGTGGCGCATGGACAAAGAGCTTGTTCTTCCCAGAGTTGTCGGTTATGTTGCTCGTAAAACAGAGCCATAATGACGAACAAAGCAGGAACTGTGTAGAGAACAGAGAAGATTCCAATTTTCGACATTAGCTGAGTAAGCTTTGAAGCGTTGTCCAATCCCGGATGTTGTTTTTGAACTTCATTGCGAATTCTCCAAAGATTGAAGAAACCGACAAAGAGGAAGAAAACTCCGAGTGAGAAGTATACAATGAGTGGAGCTGCAAAAAAAAGATTTTCCAAAAAAATTGTATTATGTAACTAACCGAGCACGAATATTCTAAGAGCCATTACATCAGTATTTCCTACGTAACACATTCCAGTGATTGGATCACCATCAATTGAATGGAATATGAGAACAAGAACCGTCTGTCCAGCAGGTACTAGCCATCCGAGAACGTGGAAGTAGAAGGAATAGGACGCAATAGCTTCAGATGACCATTTAGAGGCAGCAGCCAAAACCCAGGTGAGGGATAAGACTACCCACCAAACGGATGCTGCCATTCCGAAGAAATATGTCAGTAAGAAGACCTGTAATTGAAAATTTAGAAAAAGTTGGAAAATATCAAAAGTACCAAGAGACACACACTGCTGTTTCCATCTTCAACTCCTCGAATTCGGTATTGGTCACAAGCAATTTGTTCATGTCCAACAAAGATTCTGATGATGAATCCAACTGCTACCATCATTTGACAGAAAGCAAGCATGAAGATTGGACGCTCTGGGTATTGGAAGCGGTCCGTCTCAATAAGGAATGTGAGGAACGTGAAAGCCGAGAGGATGAAACAGGTGATTGACCAGACACCCATCCAGGATGTTAAGAAAGGCTTGTTCTTCTCAGTTAAAGTTGAAGAGTAACATGGGTAAGAGCATCCAGAAACGTTTCCAACAAATGCTTGGCGGTTGGAGACAGTTTGATATGGATGAGAGCAGCGACAACTACAATCTCCAGGAGGAACAGAAATTTCTCCGATATCAATAACGAGAGGGTTCTGTTCATCCAAAGGCAAGACTGGTAATATTTGTTGTTGCTGTTGTTGTTTCTTCAATTGCTTAGGTGTATCTGGGGGAGCAGCGCAGATATTTCCAGATGTTAACTGGTCAGCCATGCGAGGTAGAGAATCACAATAGAGAGTTTCTGGCCATCGGAATCCGTATCTAAAACATTGGAGTAAAGCATCAGTCAAAGGAATTTGATTCGAACCTTTGCATAATAGGACTACAACGTTTCTTAGCTTCTAAGCAAAGTTCCATACAAGGAAGAATTGGCTTATCATAGTTATCTTGACAGATGGGAGTATAAAGAGTACAGAGGAAGAATTTCAAGTGTTGATAACATCCGACCTGGGATAGAAATATAGTAAAAAAATTAAATTCTCAAATGAATTACCTCTACTAAAGGATAGAATTGATGTACTTCTAAGCCAGCTTCCTCTTGCTTTTCATGGCCATAACTGTTTGGGAAAGACGTCATGTTGTAACCTATTCCTCGGCATAGTGGGATAGTGATTGGCTCACATCCTTTGCTCCGCACAGTTGCTATACTGGAGCCAATAATGAACAACCAAAATAGGAAATTCATCTTCATTTCCTTATGAGGTTCAATCTGCAATGTAACGCATGTTGAATATGAAGATCTACATGAGAATGAGAAAAACGAGAAGACATGAAACGAAAATCTCTGAAGTTGAACAGTTTTCAACTTTTTTGCAGAAATGAAAAACAAGAGAAAAGTACTGTCGAGAGATGATTGATTGTAACAAGCTTTAAGGTAACCAAGAAAGACGATGAAAATGAGAGAGAAATGGAAAAATTTTGGGGAAATAGTTAAAGATGATGATCAGTACGAGAACATTTTGCTGTTGATAGTGGAAAAGCTGAAGAGGACTGGTCTGTGCTCAACCCTTTCACTCTCTCTTCCTCTATCTCTCAGCGTCTATTTCTTGAGCTCCTCATCGAATACACAGTTTATTCTTAATTTCTCATCTTATTTCTCATTGTTCCATGTATCTTTTTTCTTCACTATGAAGTTTCTGACAATGGCACTGATATCATTGCGGAAGAAAAAGTTTAATATAAGAAACAGGAAAACAGAGTCAGAGCAAACAGACATTGGTAGAACTTAAGAGAACTCAAGATAAGTAAAATCAATACAAACCATATATGGGATAAAACAAAGAAAATATGAGTCTAAGCAGTAGCTAAGGTAATAAGAAGGAGGAGCCAAATACAGGCAAATGAGCAAATGTTTGCTTAGCCGATGTTACAGGATGTGTATACGAATGGCAAAGTGAGAAGATCGTGAAATACAAATATGGACTGAAGATGACGTGAGAGAATCAGAATAAATGACTACTTGTATTTTTTGTTATATTTGGTCAATACAATTGTATTGACTATGTATGGTAATGAATGAACAAAAATAGAAAAAAAGGGGTGGAGAGAAGTAACCGAGAAAGTGGGAGTGAACACAAGCTGGACAAAGGAGGTGGAGCATACGGTAAATGTCCGGAAGGAAAGTAAGTGCCCCGAAAAGATGTAAGAAAAGGCAAACAGGATAGCAAAAAGCTTGCCGGATTGATAAGAATCGGGGAAGATATTCAAGAAAAGATCAGAAAATCATGAAATTTTTGTCAGAGAAAGGGCGACTGTTTATAGTTTGTTTGAGTTGGCATAGAGGACCGAAGAAGAAACTTTCCGAACTGAGAAGATGATGATGAGCTTTTTGTAGGAGAAAAAGTCTTTGAAGCCTAATTTTGAACAGAAGCAAGCAGAGATAGTTTATGGAATCTGTTGGAAAACTAATGGCTGTCTAGGATTTGTGTTAATTTTAAGGCAAACGAAACAAAAATGGACTTCTGGCATATATGGTAGGCATCAATAGCCCTTAACTAAATATCCTTCCGAGGATTATGACATATCATGTTCACACGTGTGTTCATGATAAGTGGGGCCAAGTGAGTTCTCAATGGCTATTTAAGGAATACCTCATCTCGTGTTATGCAAATTGTCAAATTGGAACAACTAACTTAGGATGGAAGAAAGAACATTTTTCCATCTGGAAAAAACCAAACATTTCATGGAACAAACGAACTCTTCTTTTTATGAGAAAAAAGGAAAAAAAGTTAGAAAAGGCTGGAAAAGGATCGCGACGGCAAAAACAAATTTGTCGTTTTCCTGAAAGTTCATTTTCTTTATTCATTAACGATGTGAAACGAGTGAAAGAAACTGAAGCTTCAGCTGAAATAATTGGTAATCCTTATAACTTTTGGACGGCCGGAAGAATGAGGTGTGAAGTAACCATAGCAACTTGCTCATTTGCATAAACCATTTATAGTGTTTAAAAGAGAATGTTAGTAACGAGTCTTCAAAGTGAGAGTAAGAACCTTATTGGGATTGGGCTGAAGTTATCTAAAAAACAAATCCCATAAGGTAACAATTAGAGGAAAGATGAGGAGAACGACACAAAATTTTTTTCTGGTTGAGCCCCGTTGAGCTAGTGCAGTCAGAGCCGAAAAATAATGATCGTGCAGCCTGACCCCCCATTGCGAACAATGCCGATAGTTGCGTCGAAAAGGTTTTTATAAACTATACTATATAGTCTAATAGTTTTGAATACTATAAAAAGAAATAGAAGAAGAAAATAAAATGTAAACTCCTCCTCTTTCTCTCTCTGTGATTACGATTGAACTCCGACAATGGTTGGATCTAAGTTGCTTTTGACAAACTTGTACCAAAAAGTCAATGTGGGGGGTTGTACAGAAGGCAATCATTAACCTTTAAAGGTCAAATTGGTATTATTTGGGAATTATGCATTAGTTTATAATCTTCTTAGATTTGTTAAGATGGCTAGTTGACAAGAACACATAGCTCTATCTTGAAGGAAAATATAAAAAAACATTTTGAGATGAAGTGAGAAAATAAAGGACTTAGAATAGACGAAGTGTTTAAATGAAGTTCAAATACTTGAAAGTAGAAGAAAACTGAGAAGGTTAAGAAAAGAAAGAAATATCTCGAATGGTATTGAAGTAACAGGCCAATAATCATGAAAATGAAAAAATGAGAAGAAAAAATTTCTTTTTTCTTTAATTCAACCGAAAAAAAGATCTATGAAACTTGAGATGAGAGGGATTAGGGTCAACTTTGCTGGAAAGATGAGAGAGAAAGAAAGGAAACTAAAAAAAATAGATTGTTGTCCGTTAATGGATACTGAATGATTCACATAACTTTCACATGAGTTTCGTGGCGCGAAAATTTACACTTGGAGCATTGGTTGATAAAAGTTGAACAAAAGATAAAATGTGAACAAAGGAAGGGGGTGGGAATGTGAGAGTAAGTTACATCTCTTCCTGAACAGAGGAACTTTAGAAGTGTGAAGGTAAGAGTTTTGTGAACAAAACGCAAATAGATTTGAACAGGTTAGGGGGAATGAAGTGTGAGAACGTATGGTGATAGCACCTGTAAAGCCAATGGCAATTGAAAGCATAGTTAGGGAGATGAAAGAGTGTTAAAATGCTAAGAGGCTTCAACAATGCCATATTTATAATTTAGAATATGAATAACCATGTATGTTTAAATGAAAACCATATGTGACAATGAGTATAAAAGACTTTCTATAAGAGAGTTATAGTGAGTTAGAGAGAGAGTGAGAGAGAACATCTGGATAGAATGAAGGGGCTAATTATCCAAAAATAGATTGTTACGGTTGATAAGTTGCGTTGAAAAACAGATTTCTTTCATAATCAACAAAATGTTCTCTCAACAGATGCATAGTAAACATGTTGAGCTAATTAATTACATCATATTTAGTTGTTTTTATATTGAACTCCTTATTAGGTCAGAGTTGTGCAGTGTTTGGTGGTCAAAATTGTATGTCAACTCATATTTTGAATGAAAATCTAGATGGAGGAAAAGCTAAATGCTGCTTAAATAATTTAACAGAATGGCTTTGACTAGGAAGAACATTAAGATGTGCGGCTCTCTCATTTGAATTTTTGGCTTTTTTTTTCTGTTGCATCATGAAGTGCTTAAGAGAATAAGCTGGCAATAGGCTGTTAGTGAAGGAAATTATTATATGAAACGATATCTACATACGTATCCCATAGTGGACGGAAATTCGGGCATTGTAATTGAAGAAATTAAAGTAGTTGTTCCTAACTGTCTAAGCTTCTGAAGTATTTACCTATTCAGCAATTCAGTCATTCCACTGCATTAAGAGATTTAGAGAAATAGAGAGAAGGAAATATCGGCGTTATTAGGAGGTATGGCAGATATAGAAGATCATTAGAGAGAAAAGAGGTCTTGCAGCCGTTCAAGCGTAGTGGAATCGCATTGAATATTGAGATGAGGTATAGCAGGCTGAGCCATCGAAACAACGATAGCTTCCAGAATTCAACATCATCCACGAATGTTCAAACGAGAGCAAAAGAACAGTTATTATGAGGTTGGGGTGTGGAATAGATTAAACTGAGGCAGGCTGTGACCGTTCAATGCTTATATAGAGGAGAAAGCTTTCAAGTTAAGAACAGATTATGAATAGAACAATTAAGAGAATTTAATTATAAGTACAAGAGGCATTAGGAAAAGCTTGAAGCTTTCGCAGTACAAAAGAATACCAAGATGCTGTGTACATGTAGACAGCATGATGACGAAGTAACAGTTGGCCCAAGTATACAAGCGTGTACATCCCTATAATCATGTATATCAATTATAACAATAACCAGTGAATGAAACATCTATAGAAGAACATATTTGAAGCTTTCAAATGTATACAAAACAATAGATAAAAGTGACAGAATTAGAGACAAAATTCATAGATAAAGTATGAAATGGCACGCAAACTACATCAGAATTCTCGAGGAAACGAAACTTCATGCTGCAACCGGACCAAAAAAAAAGAAAAAAATTCTTTTTCACCGAGACAAATGAAGTAACATTGGCTGGTGACAAATAGAAGACAAGAAAGAACAGAAAAAAAAAGAATTTTAATAATTAATATCGAAAAATGAAAAATACGTATGTGAAGGGATGAAAATGAGGAGAGCGAAATGTAAAACGAAAAATGAAATTATCCGTATGCAGTAGCAATTCTATTAATATTCTCTCTTAATGCTACAATTTAGTTTTTTCGGTTTTTTTTTTCAAAAAATGGAAGAGTGAAGAGGGTCGAGTGACTTGTAGTTTCTATAAAAGCCTTCTATAAACAATATTTCGGCTTCAACAAAGACTTTCAAGGAGGCAGAAGATAAATACTTACGTTACCTTTTATAAATTACTTCTTACATAACTATATTGGTATAACATCTTAATTATATGTATATCATTGCTTAAATCAAACTTATATATAGCTAGCTGAATATGGGACAACCGCTCATTCGTCTTCAATGTTTCGAATGAATGAACAATGAGCAATTGTGATTCACGTGAGCTACGTGAAACTTTTGTGATTATGCAAATACGTCGTGTCAGAGATGCATTAGAATATAAGTAAGTATAGTACGTTACTGGATAGTTGTCAAAAAGAAATTACACATAAATTTCCAAATAAATTTGACTAATAGGATCATAGCTGAATGATTGAACTGAGGA